TTAAGTTGGAGTCTCACTGTCGCCCAGACTGGAGTGCAGTGTCTGCTCCCGGCCACCGCAGCCTCGACCTGCTGGGCTCCGGCGATCCTTCCGCCTCAGCCTTCCAAGTAGCTGGAACTACAGGCGCGCGCTACCACGCCCAGCTAATTTTTGATTTATTGTAGAGATGAGATCTCGCCTGCCCAGGCGGGTCTCGAACCTGCGGGCTCAGGCAATCCACTCACCTCAGCCTCCCAAAGGCGCGGGATTACAGGCTGAGCCACCAAGCCCGGATACAACTCACCATTAGAAAAAAGCACAGATGGAAGTGCTAAATAAAATAATGAGCAGGCCACGCACAGAGTAAAGTAAGCATTGGATTCTGACTTATAAAGCCTGCCACCAGATGCAGGTGTACAATTAATTAAAGTATATCAACTCACTTGCTACTCATTGATAGGGTTTTGATAGGAGTCTGCAAGCAATTGGTTTATTACGGTCTCCATGCAGACAAACCTCATTGCTAATGCTAATGTGTATTTGCAGTCACTCCCCAGTGTTACCAGTATTGCCTCAGCTCCACCTCATCATCAGGCATCAGATTCTCATAAGGAGCACGCAAACTAGCTCCTTTGCATGAGCAGTTCACAATTAGGTTCAAGCTCCCACGAGGATCTAAAGCCGCTGCTGATCTGACAGAGCTCAGGCAGTAATGCAAGCGATGGGGAGCCACTGCAAATACAGATGAAGCTTCCGTTGCTGGCCTGCCCCTCACCTCTTGCTGTACGGTCTGGGTCCTAACAGGCCACAGACTGATATAGTCCATGACCTGGGGATTGAGGACCCCTGGTGTAGGTTCTTTAGGGCTTACTAACTGTAAGATCATGCCATCTACAAATATAATTTCATTTCTTCCTTACCAATAATGATCCTTTTTTTGGCCCAAGTGCTCTCACTAGAACTCCAGAATTATGTTGAACAGAAGCAGTAAAACTGGGCATCCTTGTCTTATTCCTGATCTAGGGGGAAAGCTTTAAGTCTTTCACCACTGAGTACAACGTTAGCTGTGGGTTTTTCATATATGCTCTTTATCATGTTAAGAAAGTTTCCTTCTATTCCTGATTAGTGTTTTGTGGATTTTTTAAAAGTGTTTTTATCATCAAAATGTGGGGTGTTGGGGGTTTGGTCAAGTGCTTTTGCTGCATCAAGATGATCATGTGGGTTTTTCCCCTCCATTCTATTAATGAGGTATATTATGTTGATTGGTTTTTAATATGTTAAACCACCCTTGCAGTCTTAGGCAAAATCCCAGGAATGTAAACAAAGCCAATCATCTCATTAACTTTCTAAATCTAATTTTTAAATTTTTTCTATTTTTTTCTTTCTTACAAACCCTTGTGTCTATGGCTTTCTTTTTTTGGGGGGGGGGATTGGTCGGAGTCGCACTCTGTTGCCCAGGCTGAAGTGTGGTGGCACGCTCATGGCCATTGCAGCCTCGACCTGCTGGGCTCAGGTGATCCTTCTGCCTCAGCTTTCCAAGTAGCTGGAAACAGAGGTGCGTGCCACCATGCCCAGCTAATTTTTTAAAAAAATTTATTGTAGAGATGGAGTCTCGCCAAGTTGCCCAGACTGGTCTTGAACCTGTGAGCTTAGGCAATCCTCTCACCTCGACCTCCCAAAGTTCTGGGAGTATAGGTGGGAGCCACTGCGCCTGGCCTTAAATAAAACAAAATTTTTTTATTGAGTTGGAGTCTCACTCTGCCACCCAGGCTAAAGTACAGTGGCACGCTCTCAGCCACCACAGCCTCTTGTGCCACCACAGCTTCGGCCTGCTGGGCTCAGGCGATCCTTCCGCCTCAGCCTTCCAAGTAGTTGGAACTACAGGCGTATGCTACTATGCCCAGCTTTTTTAAAAATTTATTGTAGAGATGAGGTCTCGCCAAGTTACCCAAGCTGGTCTCGAACCCATGGGCTCAGGCAATCCTCTTACCTTGACCTCCCAAAGTGCTGGGATTATAGGCTTGAGCCACCATGCCTGGCCTTAAATAAAACTTTTTGTTTTGTTTTGTTTTTTTGTTTTTGAGTTGGAGTCTCATTCTGTCGCCCAGACTGGAGTGCAGTGGCCACTACCGGCCACCGCAGCCTCCACCTGCTGGGCTCCG